GAGAGAGAGAGAGAGAGAGAAAAGCGGCGAGAGGGGGAGAAGCCCGGAGACACGAAGACCCGGAGTTCGCGGAATTCCCACACGCCCAGGGGCAAAATCCACAGATCGACCGAAGGATGGCCATGCAGGCGGTTCCGACCACATGCAGACGCCGGGTCAGGAGGAGGACAGCAGCATGGGAGGAAGATGTGCCCAGGGACGGGGGGGGGGGCGGCAGGGAAAGACGCACAGTCAAGATGCTCGGAGATGTGGGAAAGGAGGCTGCCCGGGCCGGGGGCACTGGGCCCCGGCCCGGGCGACGCGACCACGGCCCCGGATGCGCCGCCCGCGGCGCCGGCCGGCCGCGAGCCCTCCGGCGACACCACCGCGCCCGGGGCCGCGGGCACACCCCCGCCGCCGGGGAAGCCGCCCGGGCCATAGCCGAACCCCGGGTACCCGACCATCGGCGAGTGGGCCACGCCGGTCGGCATCATGTACCCCCCGGGCATGAGGCCGACCGGGGGGGGCGTCGCCGCGGCCCCGGGCGCCGCCCCGGCCGCCGGATGGTAGTAGTATGGGAAGTAGGGAAAGTAGGGCACAGGCCCGGGGCCCATGTCCCCGGGGTAGGGGGGCCGCCCGCCGGAGCCGGCAAACGCCCCGGCCGCATGGTACCCCCCGTTGGATGCATACGAGGGCAGGGCATAATGGTAGGGGTGGGTCGCTGCCGGTGTGGCCGCCGGCGACTCGACCACCACCGACCCCGGGGCGGCGGCCGCCATGGCGCCCGGCACCCGGGCCGAGTCCCAAGCGGCCGCCGCCCGGGCAGGCTTGACCGTCGGGGTGGTGAACGGCGCGACTGCCGGCAGGCCCCGGGTCAGGCTCTCGGCGTCGATGGCCAGCGAGGCGTCCAAATCCCGGTGGGCCTCGTCCGGCAGGGGCGCCGGGCCGGGCGCCGGCTCGGCCGCCCGGGAGCCCGCCGAGGCGGGTCGCGCCGCGGGGCCCGCCGAGTGAGGCCGCACCGCGGGGCCCGCCGAGTGAGGCCGCACCGCGGAACCCACCGGCGCCCCGGCGCGCTTGTCGGCTGGAGCGCCTGTCGGGCGCGCGTGGGCAGACCCGGGGCGCGCTGCATCGGCCAGCGCGTGGGCAGACCCGGGGCGCGCTGCATCGGCCAGCGCGTGGGCAGACCCGGGGCGCGCTGCATCGGCCAGCGCATGGGACGCCCCCGGGCTCGAGGCGGCGGCCGGCGCGCGCGGCTCGGCCATGGCCGTGGGGATGTGCAGCTCGCGCAGGATGGCGTCCGTCACGCGGGGGTCGTTGTTGAGGACTGGAGCAGCGGCCGGGCCGGTCAGGGAGGGGGACGTGAGCTCGGGCCCCCGGGGGGACCCCCCACGGCAGGCAGGCAGGGGCGGAGGCGGGCAAAGGAGGGAGGGGAAGGGGGGGGGGGGGGAAAAAAAGCCCCGCGAGGGGACAGACACGGGGCGTACTGAGGCGCTTCAGGTCCAGGAGGGTGGCCACGTCCTCCGGCGAGAGGCCCGGCGCGCCGGGTGAGGAGGCCGGGCGCCCGGCGCCGGCCAAGTACCGGGGGTCCGTAAGAATGTCAATCTTTTCGATGGCCAGCTGGGCATCCGGCGAGAGGGGCGACGGCGCCCGGCCGTGCTGCGACATGGCGGCGCGGGGGGAGGGGGGCGGCACCGGCGGCGGCGGCGGCGGCGGCGGCGGTGGGGACACGCACGCGCGACACAGCACGCGGGGCAGGCAAGGCGGAGGGGGGGGGGGCGGAGCAGAAGTGGAGGAGAGGGCGGCCGGGTGAGGAAGGGGGGGTTTCTCGGTGTCCGGACCGGGCGGCAGCACGACACCGCGATCTTTTTCCCCGGGCCGCGTCTCGCCCCCGGCCCCGGGCCGCGCCGGTCGGGCGGGCGCGCGATGGCGGGTGCCGACGCTCGGCCCTTCCGGGTGCCGTCGGAGGCGGCGCGTGATTCGGTGGTAGCCGCGCGCGCGCCCGCGCGTGACCGGTGATTGTGGACAGCGCCGGCGGCGCGTGTTGTGGGCGAACGGCCGCCGCCGCCCCTGGCCCGGTGTGCCCCGGCCAACGGGGGCATTCACGCAGGCGCGCGCGGCCGAGGGCGCCGAGATCGCACCCGTGCCTGAGGGCCAGGCGAGGAGCCGGCCGGGCAGCGCCGGTCCATTCGGCCGGGGGTTTCCCCGCTCCCCCGGGCGGCGCATTCCCCGGCCACACGGCGCGCGTCGCCCAGGGAGGAGGGGGCGGCGGCGGGGGCGGCGGGGGCGGCGCAGGCGCGGGCCGGGCCCGGTAGGGGCGCGGGCAAGGGGCGACAAGGCGCCGGTGCCTGGTCGGCCGCGCCGGGCCCGGCACACATGCCTGGCCTCGGGAGCACGGGGCGCGCCTTCGGCCGGGCCCCTTCGGGCGGCGCTGCGATGCCGGGCGCGGCGCCGGCCGCTTTGAGGCGCCCGCCGGCGGTGCCTCACCACCTGGGGCTGTCGCGCGCGCCTGGGCGGGCGGGAGAGGGGGGGGGGGGGGGGGGGGGGGGGGGCGCTTCCGCGGCAGGGGGCATTCCATGCCACCGGTGGCGAGCTGCCCATTCGGGGCGCCCGGCCTTCGGCGCGCGAATGCCCCGCCACCGGGCCCGGCGCATGCGGTGGTGGTGCATGGGCAGGCTCGGCGGGAGGCCGGAGGCCGGTGGGAGATGGCTGCGCGCGGACATGCCGCTACGGGCAACACCGGCGAGGGGACCTGGCCCGCGCGCGGCGCACGCGCGCAGGTTGCCTCCCGGGCGTATATTGCTTCGGGGAAAGAGGTCGGCTCGCACGAAAGCGGGCAGGAGCAGCGCTGGCCACTGTCGCCGCCGGCGTCCTAGTCCACAACCACCGCCGGCCGGCTCCGTGAGCGGGGGCGGCGGTAGGGCGCGCACGGGGCGCCTGTCCGCCCGCGCCGCGCCCGGCCGGTCCGTGGGCCGGTGGCGGCGGGCCGGCGTGGCCCTCGTCCGGGGCCGCGAATCCACGCCCGCCCCCCCCCCCCCCCCCCCCCCCTCCCCCTCCCTCCGGCGCCAATGGGCGGCCATGTTGGCCGGGCAGCCGCCGGCGGAGCTTGGGGCCCGGGGCGCGTGGGAGGCCGGGCGCCACCGGCCCTCGGGCCGCGGCACGCCCGCGCCCCGGGCCACTCCCAATGAACGCCGGGGTGCGCCGGCGGCCCGGGGGTGCAGCGCCGGCGGCCGTGTCGGCCAAGTGGGCAGGCCGGCCCGCGCGCCGACATGCCGGCCGGCGCCCATGGCGGGCCGGGGCGACGGCGGGCGGGCCAATGGCCGGGCCCCGGCGCCGGG